GAAATTAAAAATAAAAAAAAAACTTTTGTTCAAACAAGTCGTAGTTCCCCTAACTCTTGTCATTTTATTTTTTGTCCTTTTTTATTCCAATAAAAATTAACATTGATAACACTGATCGTTTTGTTTTGTAGTCACCCCTTTTTATATTCTCTAATTTTTTTTTGTTTTTTCTAATTTTATTCGTAGAATTATTCACCTCCCCCCACCTCTAATTTTTCTATTTTAATAAAAAATAAAATAAAATTAAATAATATTATTTAACATTTTAATAATCAATGTTCTACCTATCTACTATTTTTTTTTATTTAATCTTTTTTCACATCATACATTCAATCTACTTTTATAATTCATAAGCAAAATTCAAAAAATATATTCTTCCTTATTTTTATTATTATTAATATTATTATTAATAATATTTGGTTTTTTTTTTTCATTTTTTTGTTTTGCATGATCACTCAAATATCCTCTTCTAATTTTTATATTCAACATTATAAACCCTTTGAATAAATAAATAGTACATAATTTTCCCACTCGTTTTGTTCCTTTTTTGTTTTATGAAAAAAAAAAACAAGAAAAAAGGAAAACAAAACAACAAGAAAAAAAAAAAAAAGAATTTTTCTTATTTTTTCTGTTCACAGACGGGCTGGCGATCAGAGTACACATGAATCCGCGAGTGATTAACAGTTCAGGATGCAACCTACAACAACTATCATTGAAATATACATTTCTACCTTTCTTCCTTTTTTTCCTTTTTTCCCTTTTTTTTCCCCTTCCTATCATCAATCCATCTATCCATTAATCCATCCATCCATCCTAATTCTAAATTCCAAATTTTTAATATAAAATTTGTTTTGTAATTTCCTGGTCCTTTGATATATGTGTTGTTAGGACAACACATTTCTTTTTTCTTTTTTTTTTTAAATTACAATTTTTTTTTCTCTAATTTTTTTAAACAATCTTTCGTCCTATCATAGAAAAGTGAATGGGACGGTAAGAAATAAAATAAAAAAATAGAAAAGAAAAAAAAGGGACGAGAAAAATTGTTCTTCTTGGTTTATCTTTTCTTCGATTTAGTAGGGGGTGGGTGGGGGATGGTAAATAGAAAAAAAAGGGAAGAAAGAAAGAAAGACGAAGGGATGAAATGGATATAAAAGTAAAATGTGTTAAAAAAAAAAAAAATAAAAAATAAAAATGAATTATAATTAAAATTATAATATTACGAATAACAATTAAGAAAAGTAAACCACACAAAAACACACACACACATACACATACACACAAACATAAAAGAGCAAATAAAAAATAAAAGAAAGAAAAGAAAATAAAGCAAAAGAGAGAGAGAGTTAGAGATAGAGAAAGAACAAAAAAATGAATTAAAAAAAAAACAAATGCTTTTGTAAATATGTAAAATTTTCATGTTAGGGCCTACGAGCCCCGGCCCCAAGTACAAACGAAGTCAACTGTATACCTATACATATATATACATACAAATATATAAAAAAAAAAATAAATATATATATATGTGTGTGTATATGTATATAATTAATGTAATCGATTGGTATATGTATGATAATGATGAAAGAAAGAAAGAAGAAAGAAAAAAAAAGAAGAACAAGAAAATACCACACAATAGAAGGTAGTACTGTAAATAATGTTATATTATAAATAATTAAGAATTTCTATTTGAGTGTGAGTGAGTGTAATTGAAAATGAATAATAATATTATTATTATTATTATTATTATTATTATTATTATTATTATTATTAAATATATACATATATATATATATGTATATGTATATTATATATTATTATGAAATATATAATGTATATATATGTATATATCTATATATGTATGCATATATATATATATAAAAAATAGTCATGCGTATTAGGAAATGCATAAATGTTAAGTTGAAATATTGCGTATTTTTTTTCTTTTCGTTTCTTTTCAGTTTTATTTAATTTTTTTTTTTTTTTATATTCTTCTTTTTATTATTATTTTTAATTATTATTATTAATATGTATTATTTTATTATTGTAATAAGTAGTTATTAATGATTGAATTATTATAATAATACACTGGCGAACCCAATTATCATCAATTTAAAGTTTAGTCAAGAGTTTAATTTTTTTTTTTTTATTTTTTTTTTTTTCTTATTTAGGACAACGTGCAATTTAAATAAGTATAATACACAAGTACAGATTAATACGAGTACTACACTATCATATTACATGAGAGAACGATCGTTATTTTATATTATTTTTATTAATTAATTGAAATTTATTATAAGGGACTAAAAAATTGGACAATTGATTTGATTTTTGTATTCTTTGTTATTTTTTTTTTTTTTTTTNTTTTTTTTTTTTTTTTAATATTTTTATTTTTATTTCTTTTTTCTTTTTTCTTTTTTCTTTTTTCTTTTTATCTTGTTGATTTATTCCTGGAGTTTTTTTTTTTTTCTTTGAACGAGTTCCTGGGACATATTGTTTGCATATATATATATATTAATATTAATATTTATTAATTAATTGATAGTAATTGAGGAAAAGAAAAAAAAAAGAAATAAAAGGTAAAAATTGTTGGAATTATTGATTTGCGCATTGACGATCGTCACTAATATTTAAATATTATTAGAAGAAGGGTGGAGGAAAGGGGGATTAGAAGAAAGCAAAAAAAAAAAAGAAGAATTAGGAAATTTGTAAAAAAAAAAATAAAAAATAAAAAATAAAATAAAAAAAATAATGTCGGATTAAATTTTACAGGAAAAAAAAAAAAAATATTTAAAAAAGTAAGTTTCTATATTGAGGAATTGAAAGAAAAAAAAAAAAACATCAAATTAGATATTATTACCTCTGCGTGCGTTTAGAATTATTATAAACATTTACATATGTAACATGGTACCCACACACACACACACACACACGTAACACGTACTTGTATATCTATTATGATCGTCATTTATGCGAATATGTACCATTCTATGGTATAAATAATAAAACTCATCATATTATAATAATCAATTTGATTCAAAGTGTTTCATTCGTATGTTTTATTTCTTTTTATTGTTTTTCTTGTTCTTTGAATTTTTTTTTTTTTTATATTGTCAAGGATAAAAAAAAAAGATATGGTATAAAAAATATACAGTGAAATAAAATATAAAAAAAAAAGAATAAAAAAAATCACCTCGGAAAATGTCGTCTAATCAACAACACGTGTTCAACACAGATAGACACACATAAACACTCAAGTTCCACGTGTTTCTTATCACTATTGTGAATGATTTTTAATGACAATTACAAAAGGTATGTAATTAAGTGAGTGAGAGAGAAAGAGTAAAACATCCGGATGATTGTGAATAATTAAACAACAAAAAAAATTATTTACAATACTAACGGCACAGATAAATAAACAAAACTATAAAAAAAAGAATTGCATTAATAAATATACGAACGAGATTGTAAACGTAACGATAGATACGACAAGGATCCCGTTATCTTGATTAGTTTTTTTATTATTTTTATTTGAAATAAAAATGAATGAATGATCGATCGATCGATCGATCGATCATTAGAAAGAAACGTGTTAAAGTATTTCATTAATTATTAATGAATCAATACTGACAGTTAAATATTCACACTGTTTTCACGAATACCTATAGAAAAACAAGCACAAAAAAATGAAAGAAAATAAAAAGTATAAATAAATAAATAATTAGAAACAATTGCATAGAAATTTCGTAATGGCGATTGGACACACACTCACGTAAAAAATAAATGGCGGAAGTAATGGTCAGTGTATATTTTTTTTTTGTGTTTTTCAGATTGTTTATGGTTATTGCATTTTAACGATAGTACATATATATTATTATATTATATATAATTAATTAATATATAAAATT